TGCATCGTTGTCTGTTTTGGTTTTTAGTTTTTGCTGTAAACACACCTCGTATGTAACCGTTCATCTGCAGATTCTTCAAACACTGGGTCACACACTTTGAGTGATGGTTGTTTTATTCTTTTATTAAATTGTCATTGGTACTGGTTATTTGGTGCATCCAAACCAAAATTATTAAAACTGCAAGCTAAGAGAGCAGCAACACAGCATATCCGTTGTAAACAATTTATTATTATTTTCTACCTCAGTTACTTACAGGAAAAAAGTCATAAAAAAGAAAAAAAGAAAAGCACAGATGGACTATTTACAAAAAATGAGAAAATTCACAATAGCCGAAATGTTTGCAAATCATGCACACTAAGACAAGTTCACAAAAGCAAAGCAATTCATAGCAAAAAAACCCAAACAAAATAATAAGAAGCCATACAGATTAAAAAAAGCTATTGCCTGCAGAAAAGTAAAAAGAAAACTAACCAATTATTACATCAAGCATCTTTAATGAAATGAACAGCATAGCCGTGTACTGTAGAGCCTTTGACACTGACATTTTAAACAAGTGGATTAACAAACATTAAAATGCATTACAGTTCTACTGTAAGCATGCAATTTACTTCTCACAAACTTATGAAATGGGTAGAAACACTTAAAGAAAAACAGAATTTAAATAGGATGCGTGTTTGCTACCCGAAAGTCCAGAATCTGGTCTTGTTAGAAAGCAAGCCAATGGATGGAGGCTTTGTCGCACAGGTCGGCAGCTCTCCGGCCGTTTGGGTGGAGATTAAGAGGGGCGACACAGCGTAAGCTGCAGGGGAGAGCTCGTCCCTCCTGCCAAAATTTAAGTAATATGCCCATGATTTGCAAGCAAAGTCTGGAAGCAGAAGCGAGGGCAGGGAGTGCGGGAGGCGAGGGGGCGGTCAGTGGCCGGGGCAGCGGCGGTGACGGTCCGACCCCTTCGTTTGGTGGCTTCTCGCCGCGGCCCTCGCGTGATTACGGCAGCTCTACCAGAGCCACCAACCCAAAGCGAATGAAAGAGGAGAAGACACGCGTGGGTCTGCTACGCCTGCAGCCGCCAGCGCCACAGGGTCACACCTGTGGACACAGGGCACTCGTTTTCAATAATTAAACCCTGTGTTGCTAATGATCCTAGCGACAGGAGATGCTGGTCTCGCTCCACCCTAATTATGATTTGTGCTACTGCTGAACGTCTCGACATTAAAAAGCGCCAACATCTCTCTTTGGGGCTGCTTGTAAGACCCAATCATCATTTTTGCTTCCTTGATAAAATTATTTCTAAAAAGTTTGTGAGAAGTCATGCCTTCATAACGCCCCTAACCCCAATCCTTGTGAGTTACATTCCAAGTGGGCATTAAAAACTCATAACAAAGCAGAGGAAAAAAATAAAAATAAAAATAAAAAAAGCAAACTCAAAGCAGTGAGGATATGGAGCCTTTAAAAAAATAAAAATAAAATAAAAAGTCCAGTCAATCAAACCAGCCAGTAAGAGCAGCAATTTTTCAGTGGACATTGATATTAAACATGGACCACCCAGGCTTTTTCTGTCTCTCTCTCTCTCATTAGCACTGTAGTAAACCCCGATTAATTTGTTATGCATCTTTAAGAACTAGTTGATAAAAATTATGTCTTGTGAAATCGGCAAATAGTCTGCAAAGTGAAATAAGAACAGAAATTAATAGATTAAACTGAAAAGATAAGTCCCAGAAATTAAAAAAAAAAAAAAAGACACAGAAAGGGAGTGATTGCAATTAAAAAAAAGTCTATGTACTGAGTTATAAAGGCCTAAAGGAAAAAAATAACGTGATGGGAGAAGATAGAGCAGTTGCCAAAGGGATTGTGTGTGTCTCGCCCGTGGAGGAAGGGGCCATCCCGGTGCCGATGGGGAACAGCGGAGGCTGCGGGGAGGGCCCGTCCGGGGGACTCTGCCCACAGCTCCGGCTGCCGGCGCGCCCCGGGACGGGAACGGACATGTCACCGGTGGGTTGTGACATTTGTAGCCTCGTTTCACTTGGACAACAGTAAATACCAACGGGACTCTTCGATTCAGATGGGCATTCATTTTTTTAAATTTTAAATTAAAGAAGTAAATAAGTAGCGTAACCCGAGAAGGAACCGGACTAATGCCTGCTGGCCGGTGCCGAGGGATGCGGTGCGGAGCCCGGTGGGACGGGGACGCAGTGGGACAGCTCTGCAATGACACCCGCCTGCCCGGCCAGCCCGAGCCACCGCGGCACAGGCACCGGTGCGGGGAACAGCGCTCACCACACAACTCTACTGCGGTAGAAACCACTGCCAGGTCTCCTCTCTAGCGAACCACCGGAATCCCGCCGTGTATTTCTATGTATTTTATATATATGTATACTTATACACACGCGTCGCTGCGGTTGTGACACCGCCGTGCTCAGGCACCGCGGGGTGGGGGGCAGCCCGAGCTCTCAGGCGCGCTGCCTGGGACGCTCCTGCACAAACGGATAAGTACTTTCCTTTCCGAACCACGACACCGAGCGTTTGGGCGTGACAACCTATTCCAAAAGCAGATCCCGGATTTCTCTCCATCGGGTTCGCACGTGCCCCTGTCTCACGCTCCAAGCCACAGTCATACCACGGGCACCGCGGGCACTTCTGCAAGCGTCAAAACGCGCCAAGGAAAGGGTTGGGGGGTTCGGGCTCTTTTGAGCCTTAGGCTATTCATCCCGTGGCACCGAACGCCCATCTCCAGGGCTGGTGGCTCAGGCTGCCGCCTCCATCCATCCCTCCCCAGGGGTGTCCGGAGGAGGAGCGAGGGCTGGGCGAGCCCTGTGCCACAGGACACGCTGCCTCCAGCAGAGAGCGGAGAAAGGAGAGCGGGGAGAGCCTCCTGAGACGCATCGGGACACAACCCCGTGGAGTGGCACTTACTTCCACCGCTGCCCCCAGGGCCGGAGCGAGCAGTGCCGGCACATCCCTGTTCCTTAAATCCTGACCCACTCCCGAAATGCGGTCTCGCGCTCCAAGCTGTGCTCCCGTGGTACGGGGCTCTCTGCCCCCAAACGCCCGGTGCCAGCCATGGGGACACCCCGTCCTGCCGACGGGCGCCGAACCCCTCACGCCGTGCCCCCGGCAGGGAGGGCTCCCGCGCCCCGCGCTGCTCTGACAGGTTGTGACTCTGGAGAGCGGAGCCCCGCATCACCTGAGAAAAACAGCCTAACAACTCTATTAACGGCTCTGATTGCTGTTAGGGAATATATTCCGTGCCTGGGAGCGCAGCAGACACCGCGGGCAGAGCTGGAGGGCAGGGAGAGCCCAGCGAGGTGACGGAGGACTCAGCGGCTCCCCTTCGCCGCCCCGCTCCCGACGGCACAACCGGTGCCTGCAATGAGACGCGCCTGCTTTTTAGTGGTGACAATCCACTTCAGTTTTTATTCTGCGTGTTCAATCTCTGCAAGAGGCTGCAAATAACTAGCAAATAACTGGAGGGCCTGTTTTGAAAACCAGGCCCTTAATAAAAATATATATAGCGAGGGATAGAGTCAAACGGCGCCGCTGCTGTCAGCTGGCAGACACGTTCATTTTAGACGTGTTTATAATTAAAGCCGTCTAAGCTCTGCCGATTTTCATCATGTAACTTATCAAAGGTGTCTCTCATTTAGCTGTCTTCGAACAAATCAGCTGGTAGAAGGAGTCGCGAGGGCCCGGGAGGGAAGTGTGAGACAATGTGCAAACGCCTTCCGAAGCCCTCTCCTTACGTTTCAGCACTAAGGACCGCGGTCCCTGCCAGCCCGGACCTCTGCCCACCGCCTCCAGTGGCTGGTCTGACCCCTACAGACC